TTCTACGATAATATCACTGGCTGAGAACGGTCTGCGCACGTACAATACGGACAAAGCACAGGCTTCACTTCAACCGTGAATGATCATGGTCCGGGTCACGAATCCCGTTCCTGATAGAATTCTGTCAGATTTCCTCAAACAGATATTATTCGAAAGCCTTCCCAGGCTCCTCTATCCATTGTGGATTGCTTGGGTCTGACAAACCTTAAATTGAGTAGCGAGGAACGAGAGGTTCAGGACGAAAACGAGTACGATGACAAACATGGGGATTTTACAAGATGTGTGCGAATCTCTAGGTTAAACCAAGAGTAGAGGTTAAACTATCTAAACGTACGAATGACGGACACTCTCTGGTCCAATTAACGGAAACATATAAATGATGGTCAATGGTGAATGGCTATCAATGACAATGAATGGCTAGAGTGCATTTGCGTCCCTACTGTACGTGTACCATACTGGTACCCTGTACACTTGCTGTATCTATTCACGAAAATGGTAACTAAATAGAAAGCTTTTGTTTCTGACACCCCAACACCAAATCCCATTTTCACATGCACAGCCACAAGGAGGGTAGCAAGCAAAGCTGCCCTGGGAAAAGAAGACGGGCCACTTTGCAGACTAGCGGCAAATACTTGCTTTCATATATATGAAGCACTCTCTTTCTCTCAATTCAATGAACCGTGGAGCTCTTTGTGGAAATCGTCGGTTGTGTGTGAGCAAGAACAGGTAATTCTCATTCTTTACAGGTCGCCACAGATGACCAATGCTGAGAATACTTTACGGTTCAGCGACTTTGTCATCTTTACACAAACTGTTGCAGGAATGATACCTTGCAACATGTATTGCCATGCTTTGGTTTATTCAAGATATAATGTGCTTCAAAGATAATGCAATTCCGAAACAAACATTCACTTTGTTTATGTGATTGAAGTGTGCATCGTATTTGGTTTGACTAGCGCACCTTTACAATGGAGGAAGGCCATGCACTAGAACCACTGATGCAAAAGTAAAAGCACGACTGGCGAGAAATGCGAGTGGAACTTGCAAATACACCCAATTTGCGGTCTCGCTTGAAAATTGTCACATGGAATCAAGCAGAAAGCCCTAGGCAGCTGTTCTTTCGTCTTCCTCCTGTTTCAGCTGGGCCCGTTCCTGGATTGTTCTAGAGTATTCGTCTTGCCGACTTTGAATAAGCGAACGTTCGTTCTCTGACGATGCGCTGCTTAGCGCAGCAGGCCAGTACCGCTGCCACATTTCGATCGCTCCGCCCATCGTAAATGGACAAAGAATTGCCTCTACAAGTTCACTTTCATATTCCAAATATTTTCCTTCCTGAATCGCTACATGAGCATATTGCTGGTGAATGTCACACAAGTTTGGATCGATTGATAACGCGATATCCAAATGATGTCGAGACTTGTGAAGGTCGTGCAGGTTTGGAAATAGGCCGGAATATACCTTGCTCATTTCCATGTGAGCCTTGGCAAACCTTGGACATGTCTCAAGCGAAGATTCGAGCAAAGAAATCGAATCCATCCATTGTAATGTGCGTGTATGAACCCGTGAGTAGCACACAGCAAATGTCCAAGCAGCGAGTAAGCACTGCAGTGGCTTGGCTGGTAGCATATGAACCCCTCGAGTCGCCCAATAGTGCAGCGCGAGCCCAATCCACAAGGAAACGCTCACACTAGAAGCCACAACGATACGATCACTGATAAAGGTGCCTACCTTGACTAGACCACTAATTGGAAATAACGTCATGAGCCACGCAAAGTGTATGGACAAGGGCCCAAGAAGTTGCCGTGGATATCTCAATGCCAACAACACGCTTAAAAAGAGTAATGCTGCGATCAAAAGAGGCAAAGCCAGTCTAGGGTCAGCCCAGCTCTCTAGCGCCGGGATACACTCGAAACCATACTCGTGGCTAAATCCAATCGGATCCTTCGACCCAAGACAAAAGATAGAGGTCAAACGAGGACTGAATTGAATGGATATTTCGAACGAACCCAACCTACCAAGCCCCATGACTTTCCAATATGCACAGCCAAGACGTATAGATAGTTGCGCGCCCGATGCTCGCCACGGAAATGATAAAACGGATTCTCTGCTGGGCTGAGGTCAGTAGTGTTTGATGTCAGATGACTGTTAAAGAACCGAGAAGTGTTGGTGGAATCAGTCAAGCTTACCGGATGAGGCCCTCAGGTATATCTAGGGTGTCGAAGTAGTATCGTCCGCCCAAATAAAGAAGCATAGAAAGGGCCATCAAAATGAGTCGCGGGGCAACAGAAAGGGCACTTCGGAGATGCTCTAGAATGACAAAAGACAGTGTTTCCTCTCCTGATTGTGGTGCTGCAGTTTTCCTTCTAGCGTAGTTCTGAAGTACGACTAGCGTAACTGCAGCGGCTGGAACTTGGAAGAGAAAGGTCTCACTGCAAAAAAAGCCGCAAATCAATGCCATTACAACCAATAGAAAAGGACAAAATGGATCACACAGTATCGTTGAGAAAAGGACCGCCAAGATGTGATTGCGATTTGCTGCATTACATGTAACCTCGACATGGCTTCCATGCATAGCAAAGCAAACTTTTGTGATCATTCGAAGAAAAAGCAGATGGTCTCGTCCGCGAAACAATCGCGTCGAGAGGATCCCTACAACCTCAGCGACGGCAGCATGTGTGATGACGTTCACACAACGATGCATCGTCAACTGGTGGGAAATTAAAATGCCCTTGAGAAACCTAAAGCTCAGTACTGTTAATGGTCTCCAGGATTTGTGACTTGACTCGGACATCATTGACCGTCCCCAGTAATCATTAGAGAATATTTGAAGCATCGTTGCTGAACCATGGATATCTTGGTTGTCCTTGCTCATAATGTGAAGCTCATCCAACGTAGGACCGCCATTTATATTTGGTTGGAAAATAGGTATCAGATACAAACCGAGGCAAAAACAGTGGACGAGGACTTGGATTGTTAGCTTCATTGTTCAAAAGATTGGTGGTGTATGGGTGACTCTCCTCCTTTGGGTGACTGTGTCCTCCTTTGTTGTCGTGTCTGTAATCCATGGTGTATTCGAACCTTTTCCGAACGGACGACCGACACACCCAACGATGATTTTTTCATTTTCATTTTCGGTACCTTTTGAATTGAATCCCCCGTGTCGAGTTGACTCGATGGACTAGAATGAATGGCTAATACTGTAGCTTATAATTTTGATTATCTCCCTTTTGCAACACTGTAACTAGTCAAACCCCTTTATCGCTCTGTTATCGTTCAATAACGGGCACATTAACTCACTTTTAAAAAAATATTTTAAAACAAAAATGGCTTTCAAAACCTTGGGAAATTCCATCGTTGCAAAACATTGTATACATTCAAGAACATCTCAGAAGTTATCTCAACTTCACCTCTAGCTCACGACCCCCTACAAGTAGGTACAAAGCAAGGCGGTTCAGATGAGAAACGTTCTCGAAATCCAATCCAATGGTTCAGATCTTCTACCAGACAATGTGGTCGACCACTCCTTGTCAAATCAACAATGCTCAGGCAGGCAGATCATCGACCAGGATTTGCAGCACGGCTCGTCGCTGCTACAACCTCCGTCTCGAAGTCAACCTGGAGCCTTTGCTATCAGCAGACAACACCGAAATTCTCTTGGCTACGAATCAGGTACTGATGATCGTACTTTTGTTGCAACTTTGAGTCCAAGACAAGTATCTGAGACAGACCCCGTGTCACCAGAGGCGACGACTTTATCCGCCGAAATATACGAAGAAAGAGCTGCAGATGCCGCGGCTTTTCAGGATGATTACGAAAGCTTTGTAATCGGAAGAGCTAGAAAGCGAGCTGCGTTTGCTTTGACCGTAATTCTCATTGTAACCGTGTCTATCGTGATTGCTTCTACCTGGAACAGAAAAACTCGTGAAGATATGTCACTTTGGGAATCTGAAGAAAAAAAACCTTTACAAAAGGCCAGCGGCTGGCCAAAAGTCGGAAACACTATTCTAGGACCAACAAACCAGGATAATATTAGGTTTGGACTTTCCGTTGCAGTATCGTCCACTGGGACCCGCATCGCGGTTGGTCTCCCAGGCCTTGACTTACATGGCGAAGGGACCATGTACGAGGCAGGGGGTGCATTCGTATTTGATTTCAATGGAACAGACTGGGTTCTAGTTGGAGAGATAAATGGCCAAGCTCAAGGAGCAAAAGCCGGTATTTCTGTGAAGTTATCAAATGAAGGAGGTCGCCTAGCTATTGGTTGTCCCGGCTGGTCAGAAAATGATGGTTATGTGGCAGTTTATGAGGAAGCGGAGGAAGGCAAGTGGAGCCGTTTGGGCGAAATCATGATTGGTGCAGAGGGGAAAGGCGAACACTTTGGCAGCGAAGTAGCGTTGTCGGCTGATGGTAATTTCATAGCAGTCGGTTCCAAGTTTGCGAGCACCACTGATGAAAATGAGCATACATTGCAGAATACTGGCGCTGTTAATGTATTTCGATTCACCGGTCAAGAATGGAAACGTGCTGGGAACACGATCTATGGCGGCAATACTGGTGACTTACTTGGATGGGCAGTGGCAATTTCAGGCAATGGGATGCGTATCGCCGCAGCTGCGTTGGGTTTCGACACTTTTGCTGGGCAGATGCTAGTTTTCGATTTGTTGGGAGAGGTTTGGCAAAGAACTGGGGATGATTTTGTTGGCACCGAGGCTCGTGAGAATTTCGGTGCGTCTGTTGCGCTCTCGGAAGATGGGAGGACCCTTGCGGTTGGTGCTACAGGCTATTCCATTGGCGAAGGGGCGGTCCTTGGAGCTGGGCGTGTGCAGATCTTTCAGTGGGAGTACGCTTCTTGGTCATTAGTTGCTTCGATATCAGGAGAATCAAAATTTCAAAAACTCGGGTTGTCTCTTGCACTTTCGTCGGCTGGCAAGAAGTGTGGAGTTGGGGCACCTGGAATTGATGTTAGCACTGGTTTTGTTCGCGTCCTGGAGCAGACATCCGAAGGCTGGGTCACTCTTGGGTCCGACATAAATGACGAAGGAGCCATTGGTGGTCGTTTTGGCGGGTCTGTCGATCTTTCGTCGGATGGGAACGTGGTAGTTCTAGGTGCACCACTTGCAACCTTCGATGGACTGAGAAGTGAGGTTGGACATGCCTTGGTCTACCAAGATACATAAATATTCTCACAAAACACAGCAGCATACCAAATCGTTTTGCTAATTTCAATAAGACCTGTTAAGATAGCTTTTCCAATGACTCAACTATCGTCTAATTTTCTTTTGTAGAACATGGTCTCTTTCTCCCGACAATGGGCAGGATTTGCAAACGTGCATCGGACGTGTCCTCAGCAGCCAATCCTTTGTACTTCGTATTTTGCCGAGCAAATCCAAACTTGTTCCGCTGCAAAATTTCCGGCAATCTTGATTTGTCGATTTTATCTTCTCCTGTCATTGCTTTGGCATATTCGGCAGACTTATACCTTACATCAGAGTCATCCCATTCTTCGTCATCCATATAATATGCTCCCCTATGATAGTAACGACTTGTATTTGCTGCTTTTTCCAAGCGATTTTTCCCAGGCTGAGCGTATCGGGCAGACTCGATATCTTCATTCATAACCTGTTCATCTGTAAGTTGCTTCCGCCGTTCATAGGCTAGTCGCCTGCTCTCTTTCTCCCGCTCCTGCTGAAGTGTAGTAAGCACCCGTTCTATTTCCCGCAGCTCCCAAGCTTCGCAATGCATCACAAGCAGCTCCTCATTGCTATCGTTACCATCATCCGGGATTCCATTCGACGCCCCGTAAGACTCTTCCGTATAGTCGTGATCTGTGTTCCTTGTAGATACCGCGACTTGCCTTGCCACCATTGCACGTGATTCTAACTTCCGGTTATGACTCTTTTCGGCCTTCTTGCGTGATCGTTTTTCGTCTGCTTCTTGAAGCAGATCGAATGATTTTTCGAGGTTACGAATTTTCCTGGGAATAAACACCACTGGGGTGGCACTATCTCTCGCAGATGATTCATCGTCACTTCTAGAAGAGTCGCCGCTTGTGCTCGATTCGGGGCCTCTTGAGCTCGTCCCACTTGACTCGCTGGTGTTTTCCGGTGCAGGTTGAGGGAAATCATGGTGACCCAGTGGTCGTTTTCCTTCGAGCGCAGAAGGGGGGGCATGGGTCAATGGGCGTGACCCTGATGATGGAACTACAAGTTCCGAGCCTAGAATCCTTTTTCTTCGCTGTTTGCGCTGTGAAAGTGCCTCGTCATCGCTATTTTCAGCCGGAGTTCGACGGTCAAGAACGGTACATTCATCAAATTCACTTTCGCTACTTGACGAAGCATACAAGTGCCGAGCCTTGTTCTGCCCCGTAAGAGTCAGGTTTCCTGAATTGCTTACTTCCTTAGGTACTATTCTGGACCTTCTACTAGTAGCCTGTTGCCTTGCACCAAAGCTATCTTCGCTGTCAGACTCGTTACGATTTTGTAGTTCGGATTCCTTACTTGACTGTCCGCTTTGGAGGAGTTCGGCCGCAAACTGGTGATGTTCAAGGACCCTATTTGTTCTATGTCTACGAGCTTTATCTTTCGGCTGTGACGATGAAGGTTTCTGTGCAAGATGGGCCGCTGTTTCGGCTGGTGACAACGCGTCGAATCTCTTTTCATTTTTCGTATTCTTCAGTTGCGCAAAATGAACTCCTGCAAAAGATGATTGAGAAGCACTCCCATCAATAGAAGGTCTCCGCAAAAATGCATCCATTTCATTCCTACCGAATGACTTTGACATCGTACTCCTCCTGTCTTCAATTAAGAATTTTAATACAGTATGTCTGCCGTAGTTACGTTAAATTGAGTAGCGAGGTACGGGACGAAAACGAGTACCGGTACGATGACAAACATGGGGATTTTACAAGATGTGTGCGAATCTCTAGGTTAAACTATCTAAACGTACGAATGACGGACACTCTCTGGTCCAATTAACGGTCCCCTCAAGGTGATACTGATGTAGCAGAGAACCTTGTACTCCGAATTGGGCTAATATCAACCGAACCCCCTCTTGGGAGGACGTATCATCCAATACTGTCCAAGACTGACAATATCCGGCGACGGATGAAGACGTTTCCAAAAATTTAAATCAGAAGAGCAAGTTTTCCATTTCGCTTTTTGAAGGTAACGGAAGGAACTGAGGCAGGCGTGGCAGTTGAACGCGCACGCGCGCAGTCCATTGGGTTCGCTGCAACACAACACAGCGAAACCATAACTTTCTTCGAACGTCTGTTGTGATACCTCCTGCACCAACGGATCACGTATCAACACTTGGAGCTAGTCGAATAGTTTTTAAGGATGGCAGCACCACCGCCACTTCTCAAGACCTACAATGACGCCTTCGCACTTGTGGAAAGGGACCCATACCAACAGAACTATGGCCCACTCTTGCGAGCCTTCAGGAGCAACAATGCACCACCAGACAGCGACGAGCTCTACTTCCGCGTCGCCAGCTCCGACACCTCATACCCGAATGCCTTCCTCTGCGTTTTGCGAGACGACGATGGGCCCACCTACTGTGTTGTCCATGCTGTCTCCAGCTATCCAAGCGTATTGGGTCAACCATCAAAGTGGGATGAGCTGACTTTTGGTTTTGTTGGCGACGTCGTGGCCGGATCCATCACAACCGTGGAATTCCCCTTCGAAGCCTTCACCATCCCGGCCAACTACACCAACGTACCAGGGTCACTGGAAAGGGCAAGAGAAATTTTGGACGACAATCCGGAATTCAACATGATTGGTCCATTCCCTGATGGCGACGCCAACATCCAACAGTGTCGGGCCCGACCTTTCTTCCCTTTGCCACCACGATATGTGAATATCTTCCTGGGACAACGACTGCCAATTCGGGAAGGATTTGTTAAATTTTCTGAGCGACTCACTCATGGAGACCGGAGATCACCAGACCTGCCCAGAACTTTCAGAATGGCTCCTCCTGTCCATTACCCAGAAGACTAGAGATGGCGCCAATCCACCAGTCCTAGTGGGAGACTTCAACGTACCATTGGCCGACGCCAAGCTCCTCAAGCATCGTTGACAGCTACTGGAGAAACAGCTACCGGGTCTTGTACTAGCACCCACGACTGCTGAGACCACTACCGAACTCCAAGCAACACACTCGTTCGTATCAGTGAAGAGCTTGTGGTATCAGGGGAGCGGGAGGAACGAGACAGACAACGGTCGCAAGCACCAAAATCTGTGCGCAAACGATTTGGCTCCCTGTATCCACTACTACTGTCACTCTGTGGAGTGGACTCTGAGGACGAGCTTCCACCAGTCTGGACGAAGTTGGCGGAATCAGGAAAGCAAGAGAGACAAGTGCTGGAGCGTGAACTTGCCAGCCTTGAGCAAGAACTTGGCTCCCCATCACGACCACTAGCAACACCGGATCTCATTATGAAGATCATGAGCCTTATGTGGGGCGGGAGAAACTATGAAGATCTGACCTAAGGAATTCATGTCTTCTCCATTGTTGTCCCTGAGTACAACAATGCCAACGGTGATGCCTCACAAGATGCACAAGAGAGAACCGATGCCTTGGACATCGTCAACGATGCTGGCACCACCACCCTCCAAGATGCTGAGGAGAAGGTAACGAAAACAAAGGTAGTCATTCCTGCCGGTTTTGTCGAAGGACACACACAGCTCAATAGCATGGGCCTGCTGTGGGTCCTACTACTGGGACAAACACATCCCTTTGTTGCCTCCTTATGGACCTGCTGAACGGCCGGTTCAGCCAATTCCATGTCCTCTTCACCAACGTGGACCAAGCAAGATCAGCAACAGAGCCACCAAGCATGCTCCTCTTCCTTTGCAAGGTGCAGATCCTCACCACCCTGTATTGGCAGGAAGCCTTCAGCACTGGACGGCTCCCCTACCCAGAGCCGGAGTTTGTTAAACCACTCCGGAAGCTACAGCAAGGAGATTGCGGTTGGTTCCCCTTGTTTCCCACCAAGTACTTCAGTACGTGATGCCCCTTTCCATACTGGGCCGCTCCGACTGGGTGTCCATCATGTCACCGATCCTCCAAGCGAGTTTGCACAAAGCTGGGGTTTGCCGTTCCTTTCCTCGCGTCGTGGTCTTCGCCCCTCTGAAGTACCAGGGATTGGGTATCCCCCATCCTTTCGCCCTTCAAGTCTTCCACCATCTCAGTGTTCTGATGCGCCATTTGGCCAACCGTACCAAGACCGGCCAGTACCTGGAGGCCAACCTACAGTCCCACCAACTCGAAACGGGCACCTCCTTTCCCCTTCTTCAACAAGAACCCACCAACACCGGGATCCTTG